CGGCATACCTAATTTATAATGCCTTCATAAAAATCGAATCAGCAGAAAGAGGATGTTTGCTCGGAAAATATTTTTTATCAAATATTCGTTAGGCTAACTTCTATTCAAGTGAAATCCGGGCGAAGCCGGGTATAGTATACAATAAGAGTGTGTTCTATAAGCATTCTATCAATACCAGATCCTATATAATATATATAAAAGGCTCAGCTTCCCGAAACCATTAGCTAGAGATGTGGCGACAAATTGTTGTCTATTTTAAGCTGTGGCTCAGATAACCTGGCGACCTTTCTTTAAAGCTGCGGAGTCTTTCTTCAGAGGGAGGGTTTCCACCCATTTGAAACATGGTGAACGCAATTCTGGTCGTCTCATGTTCAATTGCCTCATAAATTGAATCTTAATAAGTGATATAACTTTGGATTCAATGAAATGTATATTGTGCCTATGCAAATCCAATGGATTGAGGCTGCCTGGCCGGCGGCATTCATAGTTCTTCAAAATAAGATACTTCTGCCAGTAAATCTTTCAAATAATAATTAATAAAAAGGTTTACTGGCCGAGAAGTATTTTTAATTTGAATAAACCCAATGGAGTTAGTAATTTCGCGTGTTTTTATTCAAAATATGATTAAATTTTGATCTGCAGAGGCTTTTATATAGTAGAGACTCTTGGTATTCTTATCTTCTCTTTGGTACTGTAAGAAAAGGCATGCCTGTTGAACCGAGAATGATGCCTCGGAATGTGCCCAAACCATTACAATTGTAGTTTGTAGATTACATATATCCTGGACTGTTCCTTTTCCAAGAAGGTGTAAAGACACAATGTACCATCTACAGGACCAAAGAGGCCTCATCAGACCACCTCTTGAAATGTATGGGAGCCTCAAGACAGGGCCCCAACCCTACCAAGTTATAAATTTAATCCATGGAATTCAGTCTCCATGACCTTGTATAATTATACAATGGGATAAAATAAAAAACACAATATATTCCAAAGTGTGTTCAGTACTATAAAGTTTCAAAAAAAAAAAACAAGACTTTGGATATTTTTTAAAGAATCCCAGAATGTGGCAATTACATCTACCAAACTTTGCAAGCTGACACTACTCCTTTCTACCCACATCACCCCCAAGCTTTAGCACCTCGATAATTGTAAATGTGCAGCTACAACGCCAACAGCTTGTTGTTTACAAACTGTATCTGGTCAAACTTTATTTAGAAAGAAAATGTGTTTCTAATTGCTCTTTATAAAGTTAGATGAAATTAGTTGTTTTGCTCTTCATTGGAAAATGAAAAAAAAACTATAACAAGACTTAGAACAAAACACTATAAAGGAATGACAATACATCCAGATGGCACAAGAACTTATAAAGCATGCAACAACTGTCCTGGTGTGGAACTAACACCTACTCACATATTCTCATGCCCAGCAATGGCCGCAGCCTTGTAGAAAATTGACTTAGACCCAGAGCAGCAGCTTTACACACCCAAGATAGTGGATATTGCTGCTGCTGTGATGGAGATGCATGGAGACATCTGAGACTCTTCTTTGGACACGACAACAACAACAACAACAACAAATTAGTTGTTCCTGCAACGTTCAATTAGACATGTATTTGAGTAAAAATGTCCGGCCTTCAGGGAAAGATATTTTTCCCTGTCGACCTGATATATTTACTCAATATTGATACAAGAGATTTTATTGAGACATGTATTTGTCATCCTTTATGCAAATATGGATGGATGTCATTTATTCCAATACAGTATAACAAACTCCCTGTAATGGACACCTAATTGCAGAGCCAAAGTGTCCTTTAGGGAGAGATGTCCTTTTATCTGAGAGTTTCTAAGTTGTAAAAATGGTAATTTTACAAATGAAAACTGTCCTTTGTGGAGAGGTGTCCGCTAAAAGGAGGTTCTACTGTACCATACTACCCATTCTAAAATATGCCCAAATTGCTCTAAAACGTCCAACGAGGAGATATGTGTCACTTTATCATGCTTATTGAAGATGGAATGTAAACCTGACAGAAGTAGCTCAACTCTAATCCCCGGATTTCTTGGTTTTTTGACACAGTTTTAGACCGTTCAGCATCCACGTCACAGAACACATGCCAGCGGCAACTGGATCATCTCGAGGCCAGGTCACAATACCACGCCGTACTTGTGCGAGAAATCCCCCTCTATAGTAACAGATTCAAGTATTTCTATTTCCAGTAAAGAAATGTATATTAAATTCAATACCTTTTGTAAATATTGCGGAAAATTAAGGAAGACAAACTTCGTAAATAGCTTTATTTACGATGCTGCTAACCAGAATGAATGATTTTTGAGGCTCAGATAAAAAAAGAAGGTTCCACCGAGATTTGAACTCGGATCGCTGGATTCAAAGTCCAGAGTGCTAACCATTACACCATGGAACCACAGACAAACTTCGGGAGACACAGCAATATATTACAGGCAAGAACAAGCTATGAATGATAAACAAAAGATAAGTAACGAGGGAAGTTTACAGAGTAAATATCAAAATTGATCTGTTATTAAAATGAAATAAAATACTTCGCTAAAATATATTTTAAATTATGACGCAACAAATATCTTTTAAGAAACTGATAATTTATATTATGCTGATTGTACATATTGCCAGACACTTCTTTCTTTTGTACGCAGTTCTTTTTTCTCTCTTTCTCATTTTTAACATCATATGACTATTTTATTCACGGCCTAAAAGTATTGTAAATATATTGTAAAACGAAATTTGAAAATTATCCCGCATGAGTTTCTTTTCAACGAAAAATCAAAATTTATCTCAAGGGGAGAAATAACGATTATTTCTAAACTTATGGATGAGGTATGAAAGGATGAATTGTGAAGAGTAATGATAAACGGAAAAATAAAAGTGTCCAGGGATAGTTAGAAATAATCGTTATTTCTCCTTGAGATAAATTTTGATTTTTCGTTGAAAAGAAACTCATGCGGGATAATTTTCAAATTCAGTTTTACAATCACAAGCCGCATTATATCATATTGTAAATATGTATAGACAAATGTCATACATGTATGACAGCGCAAGTGTCCTAAGGGGACATAGCGCTTTAAATTGAAATAAAATTAAATATGTCGGAGAAACTTCTACACAAACCTTGTAATTCACCAATTGTTTATGTAAAATAGTTCTCTGTGTTGTTGCTTGATATTAGCATACCTTGTGGAGATATCGCGTCTGATTTGATGATAAGAAATGAACAAACTTCAATCTTAGAACGATGCTTAACAAGGTTTACCGCAAATGTTTCTTTTTACAGAACGAAAAATCCTAATTTTTAATTATTTAAGGAGAAATAACGACTATTCCTATCCTTAGGGATGAAATATGAAAGGATGAATTGTAAAGAGTAATGATGAACGGAAAAATAAAAGTGTCCAGGGATGGGAAATTTGCGGTAAAACTTTTTAAACGTCGTTCTATAATCATAGCCGCATTAAATTGTATAACAAACTTCAATTTTGAAAATATAGCAATCCATAAATAAATTTTTAATTAAAAAGACATATATTGGATCAAAATATCATTTATTTTACCAATATTTCAGTTGGCTGAACGCCAACCTTTATCAAGTGAGAACGCCCTTGCAAACCTCAGAACAATTTTAACGCCTTGCCAAATGCTTTATTTTTATTTACTTCTCCTGACGAAGACAAAAGATTTTTGTCGAAACGTTGAGAAAATAAAAAACTCCAACTGGCCGAAGTGTATTTTTTATATAAATACTTTATCAAGGTATTATAACATTTTAAAATGTGTTTAAATACGTTCAGCCAACTGAAATATTGGTAAAATAAATGATATTTTGATCCAATATATGCCTTTTTATTTAAATAAACTTAAATATTATTTATTTCTGTGGACACTCTGGAGTTGAAACTATGCACTAACCTAATTCTGGTATGTTGGTAGGTTGTGTGGAAGCCGAGGTTTCCATCAGACAACTACCATGTGGTAAGGCTGACAATTTATATCTTTAAATAATGTATATATTATTTGTATATATGTATATTTAATTATGTATATATATAATATATTAAAATTATAGATAACGCTTTATAACTATGTACAGTTAAACTTGTCTTTAGCGCCTGATTTTAAACAATAAAATGTAAACATTTTACATTAAAAGTGACCTGTCTATAGCACCCTATTTTGGTTAGTCCTAAGAGGGAGCGCTATAGACAGGTTTAACTGTATTTATATATTAAATAGTCTAAAAATGCAAATATTTTATTTTATATATATATATTTTTTAAATTTCATTCACTGATAATTCTAGATTTTTGTCGATAGATTTAGAATATACCACTTTTAGAATTATTTCTGTGAAAAATAGACACTTCGGCCAGTTAAAGTTTATTAGAATTGTTGTAAATATGTATAGCTTACTTATTTTTTAAATTCACCAATATAGAATTAATTTTGTAAATTCTATAAAACTGTGAAAATATTTAATGTGTAATTTTTTCAAGTAATTGAAATTAAAACTACTTTTAGTAAATAATTATTTTATCACGACTGCACCTTCAAATCTTTACAACAAAAAATATTATTCCTAACATATATATGTATATTTAGGCATTCATATTCAAAAACAAAGAAGAAAACCTATTAAATATATGAAAGAAGAAAGAAAATATTGAAACAACAGAGAATTGGGTTCCAAGACCTCTTTGCAAATGTTTGTTGCCTGAGAGTAATTGTTGAATGTTCAAGACCATAGCTGCATATTCTCCAAGATGAATGAATCAAGAATATACAAAGCAATAACATCTATACAACACAAATGAAAACACCAAAACGCGAATGTTTCTTTTCACAAATAAATCAAACTTCTACTGTCCTTACTGCGATGAACAAATATTGGAAAGGCCTGGCCTATCATTGTGAATCTCCCGTAGAAGATGTCTGTGTGGAAATTTCGTCTGTTTCCTGTCATCTACAAGGTAATGGCGGCCACCATAGCCCCTGTCGCTTGCCCAAGGTGGAGCTAGACTCTTGTGCGTGTGACAGCGGCTATTGGCAGGCTTGCTTACACCGTCAACCACAAGCTCTGATTGTCAAAATGTCAACAGCATTCGTCTCGACTATGATTTCAATCACCACAGCGGCTATTGGCAGGCTTGCTTATACCGTCAACCACAAGCTCTGATTGTCAAAACATCAACAACATTCGTCTCACCTATGTATTTCAATCACCACTCCTTCCAATCTCCGAACCCAGATTAAAGGTAATCTTTTATTCTAATCTATTTTTTTTTTTGTTTTGTTCTAATGTCCAGGGTAGCCTAGTTGACTTGGCATCTGCCCGGTAAGCGGAATACTGTGGGTTCAATTCCCATCAATGGACACTTTATTTTTCCGTTTATCATTATTCTTCACAATTCATCCTTTCATACCTCATCCCTAAGGATAGAAATAATCGTTATTTCTCCTTATAATTTCTCCTTTTGTTCGAATATTAATATTTCTTTCATTATTATTAAGCCAATTTTCTCTCAATATTTATTCAATACAACAATCCCTTGTTTCATTATTGAGTAAAACTATCAGGTCTCCAGTGGGATTTATCTTTTAAAAAACATTTTTAATCTCTAGCTTTCGGGCACGGACGGCCTACTACAGTAGAAAACCTACTAATTTTATAATACAATATAATGCGGCTTATGACTGTGGAACGAAATTTGACAATTATACCACAAATGTTTCTTTTGAACGAAAATTCGAAATTCATTTTAAGGAGAAATAACGATTATTTCTAACCTTAGGGATGAAGTATGAAAGAATGATTTGTGAAATTTGTGATAAACGGAAAAATAAAGAGTTCAGGGATGGGAATCGAACCCACAGTGTTCTGCAATTCATCCTATCATACTTCATCCCTAAGGTTAGAAATAATTGTTATTTCTCCTTAAAATAAATTTCGAATTTTCGTTCAAAATTTTTTTTGAGATATAATTGCCAAATTTCGTCATACTAATTTTAATTTTGAAGAAGGAATTTTATTTAGTTATTTTTTTACTTATCCTTTTAGTCTAAATTAGACAATATCTTGGAGGTCGTGCTCATAAAGAAGCTCAATAACTCTTCTTGGTTCTATGTACAAGGATCCTTTGTCCTTTCCAATACAATTTAGTATATGTTGGTTAGTGGCCTCTTCGGTTTTGCACCTAGTGTACCAGAATACCAAGAATGATGGAAACTATCTCTATGGTTCCTTATCAGTTGTAGTTTTAGTTTGTTAATATGGTCCCTTGCTGAAAGGAAGGTCTTCGAGTTCAGAAGGAATAAAAGTGTGAATCCAAGATGATGTCTGACGATTCTATCTCTTGTAATACAATTTTATTTTAATAATATTATTATTGTACCATGTTTTCTTGTAGAAGGGCGTTTGTGCCAGATAACTAGAGAATAAAAAGGATTTTTGAAAAGATACTTTTCCCTGGAGGCCTGGTATTTTTACTCTCTCTCTATTTATGATTGTGTTTTAACGGCTGTGTGTACAGACAGAGCGTGTCTCAACGTCCCACCGACTGCAACGACAACTCCCTGTATATTTAAAAAAAAAATTATTTTACAATTTAATTAACAATTATAAATATAAAATAGGCATCATTGTTAATATTCAAAATATTCACACCCATATTTTACAAAATTTATTATATATGTCCATAATATAAATATATATATATCAAATTTTTTTCTACCCCATGAATATAACAAAATATTTTCAAAACTTAATTATGTTGTTATGTGACGCTGAGTTTGTTGTTGACACACATTAAATATGTTATAACACCTTGATAAAGGTTGGCGTTCAGCCAACTGAAATATTGGTGAAATAAATGATATTTTGATCCAATATATGTCTTTTTAATTAATATCAAAAAGAATCTTACGCCTTTAAAATAGTTTCGAATTTTGATAACAGATGGCGTGCTAGTGCATCATAAAGCAATATCACGCCATCTATATATAAGGGATGAAAGTATTTTGAGCACCAATTATTCTTTTTCACACAAATCAAACTTCTACTGTCCTTATTGCGATGAAAAAAATATTGGGATATTTTTAGGGACAAATTTAGAAATTTTTATAACCTTTTTAATCAAACATTAGAAATAAAGTATTTGAAATTTCCACAAATAATGTAACTCCGCCTTTGCCGGTCCCAAGTCCAGATGAAAAAGGAGGAGGGGGAGCAGTAACAAGCTCCCTAAAAACCTGGGCTCAGCTGGCCTGGCTGATAGTACCCTGTAAGGGCTCCAGGGATACAGGATGAGCAGCGTTTGTACTCCATGTTAGGAGCAGCTGCACATGGCGTCTGTTCCTCATGTCAGAGGCGGCCATTTCTTTTGGAGCTAAGTTAGCCTGCCACTGAGTAGTGCTCCCAGTCTTAATGACATACGCATACTACTTCACCCAGTGTGGAGATAAGAAAGAAGAAGAAGACAAATAATGTCACTCACTGTTTAATATGGCTTTAAATGTTTCCTATATTCTCACTACAAGATGCTTACCAGCTTAGCCTTTTGCCATTTTGATAGCTGTTTTTTAAATAGGACTTTATAGGTTCAAAGTAAACATAATTTAAGTTAGTACTTCCCTCGAGTGTGTTTCAATATTCATTCAGGAATAGGAACTGATATTACCATTGAAACCTTTTTTTTTTTATTATCCCTAGTACACGTGGTACAGGCCATGATAATCATGGTGGGAAAAGTTTGAGATTACCTTTACTGTAAGTACACCACATTTCTACACACGTGAAAAGCAGTTCGACTTCTACACTCAAAAATGTTCCCGAGTCCCGTTAGATTATTTGCACTCTTTGGTGGTGTTGAACTTTTACAAGAATCGGGAGCCATTGATGCATTTTTTCCATTGAAACCTAATAAATATATTTCATTTTGAATTATATTTTATTAATTGACGCATTAATTATCTGGTCACAAATGCGATGAAGAAATTTCTAAACCAATATACTAACACGTATGCGATTGCTTTCATTCAACATAAAAAGGTATTTAAAACAATAGAGAGAGGGAGTTATGAAAATAGCTTAAATTTAAGCTCGGAAACAACTTGTAGCAGAAATATATGAAAATAAATTAACGCCTTATTATATACTAGACGAATGGCCCGGGCAACGCCCGGGGTTTACCCGAGTGCGAATATATTTTAAAAACGTTGTCTTGGGTGGTCGCTATTGACAGGGTGGTCTGTATAGACAGGTGGATGTATCACACAGCTGATAACAGGGTTGTCTAGAGTGGTCGCTATAGACAGGGTGGTCTGTATAGACAGGTGGATGTATCACACTGCTGATAACAGGGTTGCCTAAGGTGACCGCTATAGACAGGGTGGTCTGTATAGACAGGTGAATGTATCACACTGATGATAACAGGGTTGCCTAAAGTGACCGCTATAGACAGGGTGGTCTGTATAGACAGGCAGCTGATAACAGGGTTGTCTAGAGTGGTCGCTATAGACAGGGTGGTCTGTATAGACAGGTGTATGTATCACACTGCTGATAACAGGGTTGCCTAAAGTGACCGCTATAGACAGGGTGGTCTGTATAGACAGGTGAATGTAACACACTGATGATAACAGGGTTGTCTAGGGTGGCCGCTATAGACAGGTGTATGTATCGCACAGCTGATAACAGGGTTGTCTAGAGGGGGGCAGGGAGGCCACGTGTTCGCTGGCAGCCAATGGGCGCGCTTTCTATCCGTGAGCTTCAGACATACAGACAGACAGAATAAGGCAATTATATAAGTAGATTGTGACGGTGTTTTGACCCACCGCCAATTTTGAACAGCCCTTTCAACCGCCACCTCGGCCGGTGGGTAAGCTAAGTCGGCGCATGCGCGGTGGTGGTGGTGACGTGGTAAGCACGTGGGAGGATACCATTGTTTTGACGGCCACCACGAGTCAACGTCCATTTTCATCCATCCATTTTAATCAAACCTTTTTCAACTCTTCTTTACTATATTTAAATTTGTAACAATTGTAATTAACATTGATATTTATTTTTATATTTTATCTGTAATAATTAAAATACCTTGGAATGAATAATTGAATCATTTCTTCAAAACCAGACGAACCACCACAATATAAACAGCGGTTAACTTTACTTGTGAAAATATAAAATGCTTTATTTCTAATACAAGTATACGATTGCAAATGATTAAAACTTGGTTATAAACTTGATTATATATCTTGGTTATTAAGAAAAAAGGCATTTTCTGATCGTGCAACTGAAAGTTGCTGATGGCTTGCACCATCTTTCGGAATAAATATCAACTAATCGTTGATTTTTAATTATTCCAGAATTGGCCAAATACCCTTTCTTGATTAATCAAGAAAATCTAACCACGTACGCGTTTCGGGCTGTTGGCCCTCGTCAGCGTGGTGCAAGCTGTACCTCAACGACCAAAAAGGTTGGTTCTTTGGGGCATCCTGAAAAACCATGAAACAGGTATTTAGGCCGGAAGGGCGTGAGAACGCCAATCAAGGTGAAAAATAGTAGAAAAGTAACTTTCAGTTGAACGATCAGAAAATCCAGTTTTTCTTAATTTATCCTCCTGATCCGAGTACAAATTCACTTGTGTACTATTTTTCAAACTTGATTATATATGATTCGAATTTGTATATGATTAAAAATGCTATAAAAATGTTCAAAAATCTGCTAAATTAAAATTCTTATTTATGCTCTCTTCGTCTACTCTAGAAGCCCAGCTTTCTCAAAACAATTCGCAATGTATTTCCCTAATTTTCTGGTATATAATTGGTGTATTTTCAAAGTCCGGAATGTGGTTGTTGTTCAATGCATGATCTACAAGGAGAGACAGTGGGTTATAATTTCTTAATCCTGATTTGTGTTGATTGATACGATCTCTTTAAGCGGTTTGCTGGTTTCACCTATATAATTGGTTTGAGAATTGCTGCAAGGTAGTTTGTAAATCATGATTATTTTGTTTTATGATTTATTAAATTGTTTAGTGTGTAGATGGCGTAGGGC